AATAATCAAAACACTTTCAAACAATATCTAGGGCATGTTGTAGTCCAGATTAAAATGTAAAAAAAAGTTTGAAAATAAATAGCCTATTAAGTCTAAATATTTAAGTATTTGGCGCTGTGATGAACATCATAGCAAATACACAAATCTGAATGGCTGTTTAAATCATTTAAACACGATTCAGAAACAGAAAGTAGTGCAGCTTCTTTGTTTACAGGGTTTCCGGGGTAACGGCTGCATTTAAAATTATTATTATTATTATTATTATTATTTCTGCAGTTTAGCGCCATCTGCTGTCAGAGAGTGAAAGTGCGCTTTCATCCAGAGCGTCTCTCACATGTTCCGCCATGTGCTTCTCGTCCGCGCTTGTTTACATCAGAGTGCGCAGGCATCTTTCATGCAGCATACAGCGGTGTTGTGCATTTTGACCAGTTTATGGGAAAAGTATTCTTAAAATGCATTCAAAATTCTGAATAATTTGTAATATATAATTATTCACGGTATTTAGAAGTGCCCACGATAACAATATCGTGCATATTCATTACCGTGATATATCGCATTACCGAATACCGGCACAAGTCTAGTCACGAAAATGCAAATACCCAACTGCAGTGATTTACTGTGTCTACCTATAGGCAACATCAGGGACTCTGTCTTCCTGTGCATTAATGGTCCATTTCCTGTGTGGATGGGAACAAACAGGATGTGGGAAACAGAGGAAAAGATCAGAGGAAACCTGTACAGACCAGAGGAAGCAGGCTGGCTCTTTAGCATCTGAGTTTAGAGTTAAACACTGTCTGAAACAATGAGGCGTCCATAACAATGAGCTATCTAGATGATCAGATTGATTGTGCTGCCGGGTGGGTGTGGAAGGGCGGGTGGATTAAGTTAGGTGTCAGTCGCGCTCCTGCCCTGACCATTTGGTTGCAGGCTCAGCGGTTGACGTTCCTGACCCGAAATCAGCAGCTGTTGCTTAATATGACTTCAGTTCTTGCCCTCTATCTCTCAATCTGTGTGTACTGCAATAAGATACAAGCCACGACAGCCGCACGTGTGGTGACGATTGGAAAAGAACGCAATGGCAGTGCAAGATCATATGACCTAATTCACAATCGAAAAAAATCGCAATTTTGACTAGTGAAGAATAAAATAATTTAGTGCAAAATAAAATATGATATATTCTTCTTTCTTTCTAAATACATATTATTAAATTACAATATATATATTTAATTATATCATTGAATTACAGCTGTAATATCTTTATATCTATAATATATATATATATATATA